ACGTACGTTTGATTTGATCAATGATCGACGAAGAAGACATTTTTTTTTGAAATGAACAACATGTTTCAAAGCCTCACTTGTTGCATGTACTTTGGTTAAGGTGGCTTCGGTCGTTACTGTAAGAAGGTATTACAGAGCGAAGTACGGAGAATATAATGCGTTGAATTTGAGTTGTTGAATTTTAATCATGAGGATACAAATGTACAAAAAGTTTGATGTCATACTATTTACAAGAATGGTTTGTCAAACTCATGCTGACACATAATATTAAACCCACACCAATCAGTCACAGTTCAAAACATGTGATGATTGCAATGTGTTCAACATTTTGCTTGGCATGGAGTTCAACTCAACCATCTAACGTTTCTTCTGAACCACGTTTAAACGTAAAACAGGAATAAACACTGGTTTTGAAGGTAAGTTTCTAAAATCTTCCACATCTCCGAACGCAGTGGTCTTCAGACGGTTAAGATTTTGTTTGGACACATCCGTTGTTGATCCTTTCAATTCAATAAAATTATCGGCATCCTTATGTTTTTGGCTCCTTAAAAGGAACGGAGTGTCACAACCATTGAAATAGGCAATAATCTTGATGTTGTTTTTGTTATGGAATGATAGGTCTGGAATGTTGCTGAATATATTGGAAAAACTTGTTCTTTCACATGTTTTAGACAATGGAAGTTTTAAAGCTCCAACGGTTTGAAAACCACCGTTCTGTGTGATTTCCACAAGTGTGAGCATAAGATAAGGGTTACCTGAGGGGTTGTGAATCTGAAATCCATCCTTATCAAAGTTATGAAGGTCATTCCAATCTAACAATGATGGTTTAGCAGCTTTTGCGTGGATATACGTTTCCATGTCTTTGAAAGAACGAGCACTTGCAATTAGTACTGGAGAAGAGCCCCCTACTCGTGGTGTCTCTGTTTGAGCCAGTTGATCATGACGAACATCATTCTCAAGAGAGGCTCCCGTAGATGCAACCAAATTGTTCTGCTGTTGTAGAACAGATGGTTGTGAAGAACAATTCTCACAAGCAGCGATGGTTAATACACCTTGTTGAGGAGGGGTATGAGAATAGATTTGAGTCTCTTGATAGCTACTACTACTTGCTGCCTGTCTTGGTGCATTGAAAGTCCCAACGTTTGCTTGTTCATGAGAGAAATTCGGGGCTAGCACATATGAAGGAGAATCAGCAGTGTTGAAACGACGTAATTTGTCCTTCATTGGACCAGGAGCACCTAAAATTGCTTCTTCTTGATCCTCACAACCATCATCAT